CTTGAAGGGAAACAAAAACATTCAGTCTCACTGGCTTGCGTTCTGGCCTCGATTCTCTTTGGTGATCTGGTGCTGGCTGGCGACTTTGGCTACACTTTCCACTTCTGGCAGCTGGAGCTGTATCATCTGCATTGTCCCTTTTAGCATTGTTTACTCGACTTTTCCCCCCCTCAATTTATTTTGTCTTCGCTGTCCGAGCTAACGTGGACACTGTCAATTCGCTAGACTCCCCACTTGAGAACTTTCTCTCTCCCTCCCCTTTTAAGAAGCTTGTGGTGCCCACCCCCCTTTTGGCCAACGACTCGCGACCTCCTCCCACACCGCATCATGGCTTCCACTGAGGATCCCGTCGCCCCTGTCGCTCCCGCTGAGCTTGAGGCCGACCTCGCGCCCCCCGCGACTCCCGTCGAGTCCACCATCCTCTCCGGGAGCGAGGGACCCCTGACAAGCCCCGAGGCCTCCAGGGACAAGGAGAATGTCAAGGCATCGCCGCTCAAGAAGAGCCCAACAAGCACTACCACCACTAGACGTCCGCTCTCGGGGACGACCAGCGCTACGAAACGGCCCAGCTCGGTCTCGGGACCTCCCAAGACTACAACTTCGACCTCGCGCACCGCCACGACCAATGGGACCACCCTGAACAAGCCACCCACCCGGCCGACCAGTACAACCACTGTGCGCAAGCCCCTTGGCACTTCCACCACCACAAGCTTGCACCGGTCTCGCGCATCCGTCAGTTCCGCAGACGAGAAGTCCCGGTCGGTGGCTAGTTCCGGCGACGAGAAGCGAGGAATCTCCAGTGCAGCCAAGCGCATGTCGCTGGCAGGGACCCCGACCACTAGGGCCCCGGTCAAGTCCACCACTTCCACCTTGGATCGGCGCTCCAGCATTGCGGGCTCGACTACGGCCGAGAAGAGAACTTCCACCTCTCGTCCCAGTACAGCGTCCACCGTGAAGCCACTCGCGAGACCGCCTACCGCTACGTCGACCTCTCGCCCGACCACCTCTTCATCCACTACGGCACGCCCGACCACCCGTCCCTCTTCCTTGGTCTCTAAGCCTGCCACATCCACTGTGACCAAGCGCCTGAGCACTGCTCCCAAGAGTGCCGGAGAGGATGCGGAGAAGATCCAATCCCTGCAGAACCAGCTGTCAGAGAGTGAAGCCACGGTCTCTAAGCTCAAGGCGGATCTGGATACAGTCAACATCAAGTTGACCGAACTGTCGTTGGCTCCGAATGACACTGCTACCCAGGATATTGACGAGGCCACCAGAGCGCTCCGAGAGCAACATACCGCGGAGATCGAGAAGTTGACGGCCACGCATGAGGAGCAACTGCAGGCCCTGCGGCTCCAGCTTGAAGAAGCAGAGGTCAAGCACAAGGAGCTCGAGGAGAAATCTCTGAAGGATCTAGAGGAGGCGGCTCAGAAAGCTGCCGCCGCCGGAGACGATGAGACCGCCGGTGCTTTGGAAGAACAGAAGCAGACTCATCAGGCTCAATTGGAAGCGCTCGAGAAGGAGCTGGAATTGCAAAAGGCTGCGGCTGCTGGATACGCCGAGCAACTCGATGCCTTGAAGGCCGAGCTGGAGTTGCAGAAGAGCCACTACACGGAGGTCACCCAGGCCTTGGAAGCCAAGGCTACCAAACTTGACGACCTTCAGCGAGAGTTGAACGGTCGGGATCAGGTGGTGGAGACCTTGCACATGGAAATGGATCGCCTGAACCATGCCAAGCAACAAGAGGCTCGGGCCGCTGAGGAGGCTGCCAAACAAACCATTGCTGCCCTGGAGGACAAGGTTGCCTCTCTCGAAACCAAGCTGGCCGAAGCTGGATCGGTCACCGACCCAAGTGGTGAGGAGACGGCGGCCCGTCTGGCCGAGAAGGATCAAGAAATCGCCGATCTGAAGGAAGTCCTCACGAAAGCTCGGGGTGAACTTGAACAGGCCCGCGAGTCTGTGGAGATTGCGCTAGCCGAGAAGATCAAGGAGCTTGAAGCTGCTCACGAGGCCGCGATCGCCAAACTTCAGTCCGAGCACCAGGAGATTTTGGAGAAGACGCAGGTTGAGCTGCAGCAGGCACGCGACGCTACCGAGACAGGCTTGGGAGAGAAGGCCAAAGAGCTCGAAGCTCAACACCAGGCCGTCATCAGCCAGCTCCAGCTCGAGCATGAAGAAACCCTCAAAGAGGTGCGGGCCGAGCTCCAGAAGGCACGCGAGGAAGCCGAGGCCGGCTTGGGCGAAAAGTCCAAGGAGCTTGAGGCTGCCCACGAGGCTACGATCGCCAAGCTCCAATCCGAACATCAAGAAACTCTCTTGAAGGTGCAGGCTGAGCTTGATCAAGCACGCAATGACACCGACTCCGGCCTGGGAGAAAAGGTCGAGGAGCTCGAGGTCGCGCACGAGACTGCGGTTGCCAAGCTTCAGTTTGAGCATCAAGAGACCCTTGATAAGGTCCAGGCCGAACTTCAGCAGGCGCGCAACGACGCCGAGACTAGCTTGAGCGAGAGGACGAAAGAGCTCACTGCTGCTCACGAGGCCGCCGTTGCCAAGCTCCAACTCGAGCATCAAGAGGCTCTCGAGAAGGTGCAGGCCGAACTTGCTGAGGCGCGCAGCAGCACGGAGACTGGCATGGGTGAGAAAGCCAAGGAGCTCGAAGCCGTTCACGAGGCTGCAGTTGCTAAGATTCAATCTGAACATGAGGAGACAATCTCCTCTCATGCTGCTACCATCGCCGAATTGAAGGCGAAGCACGAGGAAGCGCTCGCTTCTGCTGCTGCTGCCCATGCACAAGAGCTTGCTGCTGCCAAGGAGGCGGTCGAGTCCGCAGGCACCACCCACTCTCAAGAACTTCAGGAGCTCCGGGACAAACTTCAGGCTTCCGAAGCCGCCCACGAAGCCGCAACTGCAGCGGCGCAGGAGGACCAAGAGGAATTGCTTGCCGAGCTCGATGCTGCGCATCAGGCTGAGTTGAATGCCCTCCGACACCGTCTGGAGGCCACCGAGCAGAATCTCACCGAGGTCCGACAGGCTCTGGACGATGGTGCTAACTCGGCCCAGGACCTAGCCATCCAGGAGATTGAGTCTCTCAAGGAGAAGGTCGGGGCCCTCGAATCGCAACTGTCCACCGGCCAGGGCGAGATCAAGTCCCTCCAGGATGCGATTCAAACCAAACAGGGACAGGCCGAGGCCCTTCAGCAGAGCCTGGACGCTTTCGAAGACAAGACTAAGGCTAAGGATGCCCAGCAGCAGAGCCAGCTGAAATCGTTGGAGGAAGCTGCTATCGCTGCCGGCCAGGAGCTGGAAGACAAGGCCAAAGAGGCCGCTGCTATTGCCGAGCAACACGCACAGACCCTCGAATCTATCCGGGCCGAACATGCTGTTGAACTTGAAAAGGCTCGGACGGACGTTTCTGGGAATCAGGAGCAGGCACTGGGTGAGCTTCAGACCAAATATGAGGAATCTGTGGCTCTTCTGCGTGACCTGGAATTTAGACACGCCCAGCAGATGGAAGCGCTCCAGGCCGAGCTCAACACGGCCCTTCAGCGCCATGCCAACGAGATCACCTCCCAGGCTGAGGTTCGCGCCCAAGAAATCGCGGAGCTCCAGAAGCAGCACGAGGAAACCCACAAGCAACTCCAGGCTGAGCTGCAGGCCAGCCAGGCCTCCAAGGCTGCTGAGTCGGATGCAGAGCATAGCAAGGCGATTGAGCAGCTCCTGACCATTCAGGAGGAAAAGCTTTCCAACCTCCGTGCTGACCTCGAGTCCACAAACCGGGCTAAGATTGAAGAGCTACAGAATGCGCACGACTCGACCCTGGCGGAAGTTCACGCTCAGCTCGTGGAGGCTCAAGCTGCGGCCCAGGATGCTTCCCTTCTGGAGAGCCTGAAGCTGACCATTGCCGACCTTCAGAACCAGCTGACGGAAGCCGAGCGGTCTGCTGCGGTGAGTGGTGAGCTCGCTGGCAAGCACAGCGCCGACCTTTCCAAGGTCGAGGCCGAGAAACACGAGTTGGAAGAGAAGCATCAAGCCGTGTCGGCGCGCGTCGAAGAGCTCGAGAAGACCTTGGTGGCTTCGCAGAGCGCAAGAACGGAGTTGGAGGCGGTCCTGCAACAACTTGCCGCATCCAACTACGAACTGTCGCAACTCAAGAGCCAGCACGAGACTCTGACGGGCGAGCTCGAGCAGTCCCGCTCGCAGAACCGGAGCATGGAAGAGCGCGTCCTTCAGGGTGAACGAGACCTGAACAGCCAGATTGACAAGAACATGTCACTCCTCAACCAGCTGGGAGAAGTCGACTCGATGATCTCGGCCAGCCGCAAGCGCACGCGAGAACTGGAGGCGGAAGTGGCGGCGCTGAAGGCCGAGAGGGACAGTGCCAAGGGCTCGTCGGTTGGCCTGGATGGCAGCCGGTGGGCTGGAGAGACCCTTGCCAGAGAAGACGGTGGTTCCACCGCAGTCGAAGGTGAGGACCTTGGTTCATCTATTCAGGGAACGGTGGGATCTCCCCGTTTATCGTCATCACCCTCTCCTACGGGACTGCCCCAATTCCACCCTTTCACATGACTACGCCCGTTCCCAACGTATGTGCCGACATGGAGACTGATTGGTTTTTCTTTTTCGGGTTATATAGATGGCCAGCATCCAAGAGCAGCTTAAGCACATCCGTACCACTAATGACGATTGGTATGACGAGCACCGACGGTAAGAGTTTCTTCCCATACTTGGCCGATGCACCTGCTGACCGGATGTTGTCTCAGAATCCTTGGCGAATTGGCCGAGTTGTCTCGTCGGGCGACGCCTAACCCTCCGAGTCAGTCGACGACACCGCAACCCGAGAAGGCGAACGGCTCGAGCAGCAGTTCGGACGAGCAAGGGGTTGAGGAAGGATCCTCGTGAACGGGGAGAGAAGACTCTGGGCTCGGGGGAGGATGACCCTATTTCCTTTGTCGTATGATGTCCCGAAGAGGAATTTTCATTATTGTTGTATTGGCCTAGGCTGTATGTAATAGAATACTCAGGATACCCCTGTTCTCCGCTTTCTTTTTTGTGACTCTTCGTGTTCTACAAAGCCCCTCTCCCGGGGATCCCATTGGACGTGTAACTGTGGTTGCACAGGAAAAAGCAGAAGGGCAAAAAACCATCCACACCCGGCGATTTCAATCCCGACTGGGTTGAACTTTTTGGTTGTTTTTTCCTGTTTGCCGTGCGGGTGACACAACGCCAGGGAGGGTGTAAGGCCTAAATCGCACCGTAGGTGTTTTCTGGCTCCTACAAATCGGCCTCCTGCTTTTCCCTCCTCGCCTCCCGCCTGGCCACCTCGCTGCGTGGCCGCATTCGCGCCCAATAGCTCTGCACCGTCCCCCACCAGGGTTTTCGGAGTGGTTGTGGCGTGGCGTGTTTGCGGCGCTGTTCATATCGAGCCGGGGTGAGGACGCGGAGCGGCGGGGAGAGGCGAGGAGGATGGCGGTGCCCGTGGGCAGCGGCTGCATGTGTCTGTCGGTCTGTGTTGGTGTTGGCGTTGGTGTCTGCACCGGTGTCTGCATCGGTGTCTGCGTCCGCGTCGGTGTCGGTGTCTGTAGGGTCGCCTTCGTGGAGGTACCGATGCTGCTCGAACGCTTGTCGGTCGATGGAGTCGCGGGAGGAGCGGTGGCGTAGCCAGTGCAGGATCTCTTGGGTTTGAGTCTGGGTGGTTGGTGTGGTTGGTGGAGGGGGGAAGAGGGGTGCTTGCTCTTCCACTGGGGTTGGTGTTGTGGTGTCGGTGGTTGTGGTTTCGGGGTTGGGCTCGGGTGCCTGGTCGCTTTTTTTCGTGGTGGTGTTGTAGGACTGTTCTATATCTTTGCTTTCATCGGGATTATTGAGAGGGATGTGCTTCTGGGTCTTCGGGGTTATGTTGGCGGCATTGGCAGTGGTGATCGTGGCCGTGGCCGTGGCCGTGGTGGGAGCAGTGGTATCGCGTGCAGGATCTATGAGCCCGAGGGCGGGCTCCGCATCGCTATCCCTGGAGTCCGGTCGATCGTGGCGATCCGGCGGGTGATGATCCCGCTCGTGTTGATGATGATAATGATGATGATGGTGCTGATACCCCCCCGACAACATCCGCACATCCTCCGGTCGACGGATCTCGTCGATTCGCCATGGTCTTTTTCTTCTGCTGGGTCTGGTTCTTGGGGTGGTTGTGGTTGTGGTTGTGGTTGCGCGGGTGGGCTGCGTTGTTGTTGCTGCTGCTGCTGCTGCTGCTGCTGCTGCTGCAGGTGCTTCTGCATGAGGGTAATGCTGATTCCTTCGATAGTCACTGGCCAGTGTGGCCAGTGGATGATGGTGCGGATCGGCGTCGGCGTAGGCGTAACTCTCGGCCGTCAACCCGGACGAAAACGCCCGACAGTACGCCTCGTACTCTACGCCCAGATTCTCGGTGGATGGGGTCGGGGAGGAGCTTCTGGAGCTACTGGTGGAGATGGTTGTGGAGAAGGTATCGGCGTCGGTTTCGGATTTGGAGTCGGGGTTGCAGTGCTGTTGTTGTTGTTGCGGCTCTCGGGGGTGAGGGGGTGGTGTGGGAGGTGGTGAGGAGCGATGGTAGGTTGGTTTTCGGAGGGATTTGGAGCGGGAGAGGAGTCTGGATGGGGAACCTGGGGAACTTGGGGATGGGTTGGTGGGCAGGTGTTGCGAGAGCCAGTGGCGGAGGTGGTGGATGGTGGATTTGCGGCGGAGGAGAGGCCGATTCCTCTTCGGGGTCGGGGTCGGGGTCAGGTGCTTATCGGGCTGGGGGATGGAGGGGAGGGTGTTGTTGAGGGTGAAGGAGGAGGAGGTTGTTGTGGTGGTGGTGGTGGTGGTGGTGGGATTGAGGGGAGGCATGTTGATGAGAGAGGTATTAATGTATAGTAGTAGAGTAGAGTAGATCTGGTGCAGTGCTGGACTGCCTGTACATGAAGAAACAGGAAACTATCTTCTGAACTGACGGGTTGGATCGGGTTATATAGTACGGAGTAGCTAGAGAGGAAAGATAAGAGCCAAAAGTACATGCATGGACTGGACCGTACGTGCTTGCACTGTACAGCAAGTGCTGAGACATGCAGCCCTAGCTTCAACTCTTCCCCTCCCTCATTCCCAGGAACGCTCATTAAACTCACTCTCCTTACCTCCTCCAATCTTCTTCGCTCCTCACTCTCACTCACTCCCAGTCTCAGTCTCAGTCTAGAGCAGAGCTACCATGCACCTCATCTAGAGTAGCATCCGTGCTGACCCAGACCAGACCAGCCCGTTCAACGTCCTCGTGGCGTTAAATGCCGTGCTGCCGTGCTACCGTTACGCCTGGCCGGGGTGGAAAAAAAGAAAAGAAAAGAGAAGGAGCCCCGTGAGACTTCAACCTTAGCACCAGCACCAGCTCTATGCATGTCCGTCTAGCGTAGTATACAGATATATATACACATCACCCAGAGACGCCATCGCGCCCCAGTCCCCATCGGCCGACTTCGCGCATCGCCTCGTCGCCGCCCTCCACCAACCGCCCATCCGCGTTGGCCGCATTCTGGCTGCCCAAGACTCCGGCCACGCACTCCCACCCATTGCGTCCACCACCCCAGCGGAGCACCTCCTGCTTGTACCGCTCGCCGGCGTCTCGCTCCACCGCCGCCTGGCCCCCGCGGAACACGTCCTCCCAGATCTTGTTGGCAATCGCCCGATCGAAGATGTAGCTGTAGTAGGTGGCCCCGTAGCCATACAAGTGGCCGAAGAATCCCTGCCACGAGGTGGGCGGCCGCGTGTCCGTCGGATCGGGCAGGCTGGAATGCGTCGTCGCCACTTGATGGTAGAGTGCCGTGCTGTCGATCCGCCGATCTGCCGGCAGCGTGTGGTAGGCCTGGTCCACGAGCGCCATGAGGATTTGGGCCTCGTTCTCGACGGCACCATAGACGGAGCCGTGCGCGGTCCGGTCTTTGGCCATGCTCTGCATCATGCTCTCCGAGAGCGGGGTGTCTGTCTCCCAGTGGCGGGCGTACAGCGAGAGCACCTCCGGCGCCATAGCAAAATGCTCCATAAGCACCGAGGGCAATTCGGCGAAGTCGGTCGCGCAGCGCGTTCCCGAGATGGACTGCAACCGCGTCTGTCCGAGAATGGAGTGCAACGCATGACCCATTTCGTGGAACAGCGTGCGCACACTGTGCTCAGTCAGCAGAGCCGGGCGTCCCGCTCCCGTCGCGGGGGGCTCGGGAAAGTCGCACACGAGAGCGATTGTGGGGAGCTGGCGGAGCGTCTTGCTCTCCGAGTCAATCGCCGTCGCCATGCCGTCGTTGGGATGCGCCGACGAGTCCAGCACGGTGGCGCACTCGGCCACTTCTTCGGCGGAGATCTCCCGCGCACACCGCAACGTGAAGTGAGCTGGGTTCGGATGCTTGTTGGGCCGTGAGAATAGATCGCAGTAAATGACCGCAAGGTGTCGGCCGGACTCGTCAACCACATCCAGGCGCCGGACGTCCGACATCCATGTCTCACCGGGAGCCGTCTCCTGAGGCACCAGCCGCACTCCATACAGTCGCTCAAACAGGCGAGACAGGCCTTGCATCACCGTGCCCAGCGAGAAGAATTCGGGCACTGCGTTCAATTCCCGCGACCGGCGTGCCATCGAATATTCCTGGACCCGTCCGTGCACATAATAGGCGTGATCCCACGGCTGCAGTGGCGTGGCGCCCTTCATGTGCTGCAGCTGCGCGAGCTCTTCCTTGACGAGCTCACGGTTGCTGCCGACAAGGGCCGTCAGAAACTTGGCCACAGCTTCTGGACTCTTGGCCATCTTGTCATGGAGCGTCATATGTGCGAAGCTCTCAAAGCCGGACAGCTGCGCGAGCTCCGCCCGTTTCGTGAGCAGCTGCTCCAGAACCTGGATCTGACGCGGACTCGACGTCCGCGTAGCCAGGTAGATATCTCGGCGGACGTCCTCGTTGTGGACCGATCGCAGCGCCAACCGCGGGATGAGACCCATGGTCGGCACCGATGCGGTGCGATTCCACCGCTTGATCTTCTGCACCAGCATGGGATCCAAGCCCCGCAAGCTGTTGGCGTTGACGACCACGTGAGCCTTGGCCGGCTCGGCGCCATTAACAAAGGCTGACCCTAGCTGGCTGACCTCCGTCGATAGGTTGACGAACCGCTGTCGCTCGTTCGGGGGCATATGAATGGCAGAGTTAGAGAAATCCTTGATGAGGATCTGCGCCACAATCTTCTCCTCCTCCGACCAATGCGCCGTGACCTCCGGGTTGGCGGCCGCCTTCTTCAGCTGATCGTTCAATCCCGTGGTCGTGTTCAGAACGTTCATATATTCAAACATCAGCGCATATGCCTGCGTGGCCGCCTCCTGCACCTGCGGGTCCGGGTGAATGACCCGGATAAAATCCGACAAGTCGATCACCCGACACAGCAGGTCGCTGAGGCGGTCGAGATCACGGGCCATGGTCCGGTATTCCTCCAAGGTCGAGGCGGCGAGCACTTTGGCGACGATCGCCTGGCATTTCTGCAGCGTGGAGGTGGCAAAGACGCGGAAGCCATCCGGACTTGTGAGGTACTGGTTCTGAACCAGCCCAGTGGGTTTCAACTGGGCAGCACTGCTCTGAGAGAACTCCCGCCAGAAGGGCTGCGAATCGAACATGCGTCGGAGAGTCTCATCCTCGGTTTTCTTCTGGTGATTCTTGGCGGGTGTGTGGTCTATAGCGGGACGGTGGGCGGCAGCGGTCTCCAGTGAGCGTCGGGCCTGCGACAGACATGTGCGACAAGTCCACGGACGCCGCCGAAGCGGCATGAGCATGTGAGGTGACCCCATGATGGGATAAGCGGGATTAGGGCGAGTGGGTGACTTGTAGACGATGTTCTGACATCAGGATTCGCTTATAGCATGGAGAACGAGCTGTTAAGATGGTGATAAAAAGGGAAAAAGGAGTCGGAGATGGTAACAGAGATGGAAGAGAGGGAGAGAGAGGGAGAGAGAGGGAGAGAGAGGGAGAGATAAGAAATGTATGTGGAGGAGGAGGAGGAGGAGGGGAAGCGGAGAAAGAAGGGAGAGAGTAGGAAATCAGAAACGGGCGATGACGGAGGAGTGGCCGATGAGCCGCCGCTGCGACGGGGAGCGAAAAAACCCGCTTGGCAACTTCCCTTCCCTTCCCTTCCCTTTCAATGTGAAGTTCACCTCCCGTCATTCCCGATCTGAACTTCACTCACCTCCCTCCGATCTTCCTCCTCCATCCCCCCCCCCCTCCATTCCCTTCCATTGGCCTTTCTCCACCATGTCTTTTCGGCCAATGTTCCAACAGGTGCGAGATACAACGCTCCAGAAACTCGAATGCCTTCACTAACCGCCTCAAAACAGCGGGCTGTGGCTCCCCTCGCGGCCTCTCTTTTGGCTGGAGGAGTCGCTCTCTATCCCCGACGGACGGCCTTTGCAGAAGAGCCCCGGGACCTGGTACGACCTTCCTTCTCATATCCTGGAACTCGATTGTGATTAGAGCAATGGTGGTCTGACTGTATCTTGTGCTCTTCTCTCTCACCCAGAAGAAACCGATCTACGATGACTACGAGGACGAGATCCCGACCACCAGAAACATTCCCACTCCCACGACGCCCGCCGCCGTCTCGTCGTCCATTATCCCGGTCACACCCACCACCTCCTCCGCTACCTCCTCCCCGACCCCCACAGATATCCTGACGGCCCAGGTCCGTCAAGCCCGTCTATTCCTGTACCAAAACTCCCTGGCCGTGGAGACCTGCTTCAACAACTTCCTGTCGCGGGCCCTGCACATCGAGAACGCCTTCACCAACACCGTCGCCTCGCTGGCCCCCTCGCCCGAGTCGGGCGAGCGCCTTCTCCCCGGGGGCGTCTACGTCGTCGTCGCCGCCATGGCCGGCTCCATCGTCTCGCGCAACCGCGGCCTGATCCTCCGCACGGCCTCCCCGCTCGCCTTCGGCACCGTGGCCGCCTGGACCCTGCTGCCCGTCACCATGCGCAACGTCTCCGACCTCGTCTGGGAGTACGAGAAGAAGGTCCCCGTCGTGGCCGACTCGCACCTGCGCTTCCGCGCGCAGGCCGAGCACTTCTACCACACCGGGGTCGCCCACAGCGCCATGGGCCGCGCCATGATGGAGGAGAAGATCGGCGAGGCCCGCAAGAAGCTGGAGGAGATTGTCAGCAAGGGCCACTAGAGCGGTGCTTCTTTTGTCTTGCTAGATTCCATCTACCTTTCTTTGCCTTCCTTCTTGGTGTTTAGCCCTTCTCCTGTGTTCATTCTCCCTCTCTGCTTTGAAGCGGACGTGATACATTGCTACTCCTCCCTTTTCCTGACCTCCGTGCGCGGGTTGAAAGACTTCCGTGTGGCCGTGGAACTGGGATGATCTACCTACCGGACTCGTATATCTACTTCTGGCATAACTTATCCTCCTTCCGTCCCTCTGTCCATTTGTCTGGCTGTGTGTATGTGTGTACTTTACGAGGGTTAGAATTGAAGAACGCACGGTTCTAGACAAGCTTCCTCACCATGCCTTCTAACCAACTCTGTAAACTCCCGGGCCATCTCGGCAAGAAAAGAGGATCTCACCGAGCCCACCAGCCCTGACAGCTTTAACTCCGCAAGACTAGACGCACGATACTTCCAACGAGACATAAGAACCTTCCTTTGCTGCTAATAGTACTCTGGCTACTCCGCCGCGGGACTCGGCGAGCCACTCGTAACAGGCGGCGGAGGGGGGCTCTGCACCGCACCACCACCCTTCTTCGGGGGCGGCGGCAGGGGAGTCCCCTTCCGACTCGACGGGGCATAATCCAACTCTTTACTCTTCTGCAACCCCTCCGCGAAATACTCATCAAAGGCCGACGCACTGGGCGCCGCCCTCGCCTTCCGATGCGGACGTCCATGGCTTGCTACCGCTCCCGTCGCCGTTGTCGTCGTCGTCGTCGTCGTCGTCGGACTCGCCACGCGATGTGTCGGCGTCCCCGCCATAGGCGGCGGAGGCGGGGAGCTTAGATTCGCCGGCACGAGGAACTGGTGCTGCTCTTGCCCTTGCCCCTGCCCTTGATCCCCGTACCCGTACCCGTACCCGTACCCGTACCCGTACCCTTGAATATGCTGCTGCTCCTGCCCCGGCTGGTGGTGCTGCTGAGCATACCCCCCAAACTGAGCCGCCCCGGAGGACCCATCCACCCTAGAGGCTGAGCCCGACGGCGCCGTTTCGAAGACCACCTCCCCCGGCCCCTCCACCTCCTCCCCCAACCCAACAGGCAACCGGTGCAGGGCCCCGAACCCCAGCTCGGCGCCGAGGGCGCCCTCGCCGCCCCAGCCGCGCGTGGGGATCAGCTCGACCTCGCGCACGACGTCGAACTCGCTGTTGTACACCCACAGCACCAGGGTACGGTCCAGGTGGTCTTCGACCAGCTCGCCCAGCGCCGACTCCCCGCGCAGCGTGCCGCTCGGCGTGCCGATGATGTAGTCCGAGTGCGGTAGCAGACCTGCCCGGTAGGCCGGGCTCAGCGGCGAGGGGATCGACAGCACGTGCCAGATGTTTTGCGTCGAGGAGAGCGGGGCCAGTTGCACGGCTATGCCCAGGGTTGGGGTTGCGGTTGCGGGGACGGGGAGGGAGACGGTGTGGGATTTTTGGCCCTGGAGGGTGAGGTTTGTTAGGTGAGGTTTGACCGAGGGAGGAGGATTGAGGGTGAGAAGGGGGTCTTGGGGTTATGGGGGTGCTCACTTTGGCGCTCCAAACTTCAAAAGTTACGCTGGAGCCGGCGCAATTGCGGACTTCGGTTGCGAAGAGGTTCGGGTCTGGGTCATCCTGTGGTCGATGGAGGGGTTAGCTTGGGAAACGAGAGGGAGGGCCAAGTATACTTAGCAAGGCAGGAAGCAATAACCACGTACGATCAGACGTCCATTGATCCCGATGATAAAATCAAACCACGGCTCGAGGGGCACCTCCGGGTCCTTGTTGCGGAGTACCTGGAAGCCGAAGGAGTTGTCCGCAGTCGACGATCGGGGCTGCTGGGCTGGCTCGGCGTCCAGCCCGATGAAGCGGTTGAAGGCGCCGAACATGTCGCGCGGAGGGATAGGTTGTAGGAAGGCAAAGGTGGAATGCGATCGTGGGAAAGTCTCGTCCTCAACCTCAATGTTGTCGAAGCTGTTCGTTGATGGGCGCAACGTGGAGGGAGGATGGATGCTGGCCATGAGTTTCAAACAAACCACGCAAACACCGCCCGTCTGAACTTATCGCTTATCGCCCCCGGTTTATCGGTCTTCCCTCTCTCTCTCTCCGTCGATAATAATGCGCCGCTGCGCTGCGATCGATCGAGTCGAGCAGCAGAATTTGTCGAGTCTCAGGGACTTACTTCTCCCTGCTTCATGGCACGCGATCCAAATGAAGATGTGCCTCCGCCGGAGGTGCATCACTACGATGAGCTCGGAGAAGTGCCGTGGGATATCCAGAAGTCAGTTCCCCAGTCATCATTATTCGCATGCATCTCAGACCTAACTAACTATTCCCAATCACCACAGTTACTGGGCTCAACGATACAAGATCTTCTCCAAGTATGACGAGGGGGTGTGGTTGACCGATGATGCCTGGTTCGGTGTCACTCCGGAGCCCGTGGCCAAGTACGTTTCGAATTGTATTTCTCGTGCCGCGAATGCGCAAGCCCAGGGTTAACAATCTTCGTGTAGCAAAATCGCAGAGCATATGGCCAGCGCCGCTCCCGCGGACAAGATGGTCCTGGTGGATGCTTTCGCCGGGGCTGGCGGCAACTCCATTGCCTTTGCCCTCTCCGGCCGGTGGAAGCGTGTCTACGCCATCGAGAAGAACCCGGCCGTCCTGCAGTGCGCGAAACACAACGCCAAGATCTACGGCGTGGCGGACCAGATCACCTGGTTTGAGGGGGACTGCTTCGAGATCATCAAGAATCAACTGATGGATCTGGCTCCGTACAGTGTTCTGTTCGCCAGTCCGCCCTGGGGAGGTGAGTCATACTCTTTTCTTTTGGGGTTGGAGAGACGAAAAGGCATGTCACTGACTGACAATCGGTGTAGGACCCGGTTACCGGTCGGACAAAGTCTTCAACCTCCGGACGATGGAGCCTTACTCGTTAGCGAAACTGTACACTGAATACTCGCTGTTCACCGAGCACATTGCTCTGTATCTTCCGCGGACCTCGGATGTGAAGCAGATGGCCAAGGTGGTCAAGGACGGGCAGAATGCAACGGTGATGCATTACTGCATGGAGGGCGCAAGCAAAGCCCTCTGTGTATACTATGGTGGGTTCAATCTGCAATGATGGCGTGTGGCCGACTCTTTCTTGCTTTCTTCGTTGTTTTCACTAGATTTGTTTGTCGGGGTTGCGTTCATCTAGGTGATGCGCAGATAAAGCTCACCCCGCTTGGATATGCTCGCAGGCTTGCACTTTGCTGTACATTATTGTCTGGTTAGAAGTAAATGAATACCCCTTAGCAGTTTACAGTTTGTATGGATTGCGATAGAAGTAACGGAACTTGTAAGCTGCTTTCCTGATTGGGATTAGGGCGGTGTAACTCCGCCGGGCTCTCATCTTCAGTTCTCTCTTCTTCCTCTCGCCGCTTTGCATGTCCCTGTGCCATCTTCCTGCAGTCCGTTTGAACCACGCTCTCTTCGCTTTTCCCTTCACCCTCCACTTTCTCTTCACTCGCGGCACATATCTTAACGCGTTCCCAGGTCGGTCATCATCTCTGGTAGACAGAGCCGGCCCCGATGCGCCCGAACGCGTGACATCCCTCCATCCCCCACCAGCCGAATTCTCTCTTTCTCCCCACGACACCCACGATCACAGCCATACTTTCGCCGTCAAAATGCCTCACGCGACTGAACCCCCGGTCCCTGAGACCGAAGATTCAGTTTTCGAAAATGTGATGCGACAGATGAACGGCCCCCTCGGGGATGGCGCCATGTCCTTCGATTTCCTGGCGCGCGACCTGGAACCCGGCGAGAAGGCCGACGACGCCGTGGACTACGAGGACTTCGACGACGATGAGCTCCCCGAGGAAGAAGAGCGGACGGGTCCCCCCACTGCTGCCGACGATGACAACGGTATGATGGATCTCGGCGATGACGACGCAGACAAGGATCTCTTTGGAGGGGAAGACGAGGATCTCTTCGGTGGCGGCGGCGGCGACGAGGATGATATTGGTGCTGCCGGCCGGGAGGGTGAGGTTGATACACAGCAAGGGCCCCGCGATGAGTTGGACGATCTCTTCGGCGAGGGTCCGTCCTCGCCGGGCGCGGATCCCACGCGAGACTTGTTTTTCGATGAGGAAGAGGAGACGACGGCGGCGGCGGCGACCGATGAAGCACGACCGGTGATGAAGGGGCCGGTGCCGGCGGCGGTGGAGCCGGTGATGGAGGCCCCGGTTCCTTCTATGTCACAGGAGCCTGCGGCGGCGGCAGCGGCGGCGGCGGCGCCAATGGATGAAGACGAGGTGGATCTTCTGCAGGAGGACGAGGCGCTGAGCCCGACGGCGGAGGATATGGATCCCGCGTCGCTGCGGGCGTGGAAACTCCAGCAGCAGCTGTTCGCCATGTCTGCGTACGGCCCGGACAACCCGCCTGCACCGCCGGAGAACGTCGAGGAGCTGCTACATTCGCTATTCCCCACGTTCGACCGGAATGCTCTGCCCCGGTTCCTGGAGCTGATCCCGCATAAGAAGGCCTTCTTCCTGGGCAAGCAGCCGCCGAAGCCTCCTAAACCGGTGATCCCAAGTAAAGTCAACATTGAGTTGGCGCAGGACCAGGAGCGAGTGTTCAAGGCCGCAGGCCAGGTTTTCAAACGCCCGCATGAAGCCGAGCATTCGGGCTTGGTGACTATTCTGGAGGCTGCGCAGGAGGACGAGGAGGAGATTCGAGAGGATTTCGAGCACGATACAGATGTTGATGATACTTTGCCTGGCGGTGTCTCCCTGCATGACCTTCAGACTGTCTGCGCAGACTGGGATGTCAAGGACGATATCTCTATCATGGACATTGATGAGCCGAACACTCAAGAGCTGGACCCGATGGAGGACGACTGGCTTCTCGACACAAATCGTCCCGCAAAGAAACGCAAAATCGGGCGGGATCCATTGGAGGTGGTGGCACTCGCCCATATCGATGTGCCCATTGTCGATGACCCTGAGCAGGCAACCTCGCGGATCGCCCAGAAGGTGGTTGTCGACATGAACGACCCTCATATCCTCCTCGATGAACGCGGACCAGAGAATGCCACGCAGAAGCCCAAAGCGTTGGGAGCCATTAACCGCGATGAAATGGACGCCAGTGTCACCAAGCGTCTCACCTCACGGTACAACATCTCGAATGATCAGGCTTACGATATGCTCAAGCAGAACCATCAAAACAAGGTCCGAAGCACCCTGGGCAATGTTACGTTGGAACACAGTATGCCCGCTCTACGCCTGCAGTGGCCTTACTACAAGACGGAGCTGGCCAAGGCCGAAGCCCGCTCGTTCCACCGTCCGGCACTTGCTTTCAGGCCGGGACAAACATGTTGGTTCAAGAACACCGCGTACATCAAACGCAAACACCAAAGGGGCAAAGACGTCAAAGCCCTCTTCGATTCTACCAAGTCCCTCTCCCTAGCTGATAATTCCAATGTCTTGCTGGTCGAATACTCGGAAGAAGTTCCTATCATGCTGTCCAATTTCGGTATGTCCAACCGCTTCATCAATTATTACCGCAGGAAGAGCATGGAAGACCCCACGCGCCCGAAGGCAGAAATCGGCGAGACCGTTGTTCTGCTTCCGCAAGACAAGAGTCCGTTCTCAATCTTCGGTCACGTCGATCCGGGCGAGATAACCCCCGCAATCTCCAACTCCATGTATCGCGCACCGCTATTCCAGCACCAGGCCAAGTCGAACGACTTCCTGATCGTGCGGAGCACGACTGGCTCCGGCGGTAGCGACTACTACATTCGGAACATTGAGAATCTGTACGTGGCTGGGCAGCAGTTTCCTTCGGTGGACGTACCTGGGCCCCACTCGCGGAAGGTCACCACGGTGGCGAAGAATCGTATGAAGATGCTGGTCTATCGTCTGCTGAAGAAGAGTCCCGACCTCCGCCTCTCCATCAGCGACGTCACGGCGCATATTCCCGGCACGAGTGATATGCAGAATCGTCAGAAGGTGAAGGACTTCCTCCAGCACGATAAGGATTCGAAGTACTGGGTGCCCATGGAGCCGGTACCGGAGCAGGATGTAATTCGGGCGTGGGTGCAACCGGAGGATGTATGTCTGCTGGAATCCATGCAGGTCGGTCAGCAGCATCTTCACGACACCGGTTTTGGCAACGACGCCGAGACTGGCGGCGACGATGATGACGATGGAGAGGGCGAGAGCTTCGAGCAGCAAATGGCACCGTGGAAGGCTACACGCAATTTCCTTCTGGCCTCTCAGGGCAAAGCAATGCTCAAACTACACGGTGAAGGTGACCCTACCGGGCGTGGTGAGGGATTCAGCTTCATCAAGACCTCCATGAAGGGTGGATTTAAGGCTGTTGGCGAGAGTGTGGAGGATAAACTCGATGCGCAAAGACTCAAAGAACTGGGTGGCCACAGCTACAATGTCGCTCGGCAGCAGAAGTCCTACGAGACGTCGATCCGCCGCATCTGGGATGCGCAGAAGGCCAGTCTGTCTTCGACCGTCGAGCATTCCGACGAGGAGAGCGATATTGACCGCGATGACGAAGCCGAGTTCAGCAAGCCGACCCCTAGATCCGAAGCACCTACGCCGGCCCCATACCGGCGCGACGACGAGACGACGAGTCAGTTCAGCAGGATGAGCTTGCCAGACCAGAGAGGCAAAGTTCTGCGCATCATGCGGACATACAAGGACGAAAGGGGTCAACTCTATCAGAAGGAGCAGATGGTCTTCGACCCCAAGGTTATTCGGCACTATATTCAACACCGGCACCGCGTGGAAGCTTTGAGCACCAAGTAAGATTTCCCTTCCCAATGCTCTGGACAAGTTGACTAACCGTCCCAGACTGGATTCGCTGCAGCCCACCGGCGATCCGGAAATCGATGCTCGTAACAAGAAACTGTATGTCTCGCCTTCTCCCCTAAACATAGGTTATACGCCCTGCTGGGGCTTGGACACACTAACCATCTCAATTCCACCACAGTCTGGAAGCCGAATTGAGCCGTCTCAACCGCAACAAGGAGCGTCGCTTTGCCCGCGAGAAGCAAAAGGGAGCTGCCCGTGCCTCCGCCGGAGATTCACCCGCCGACGGTGGCGGTGGCTCTGGCAAGTCCGCTGGCACACAACGCAAATGCGCCAATTGCGGCCAGGTCGGCCATATCAAGACCAACAAAAAGTGCGTTCTCAACCAGGATGAGTGTCTTCACCGCCCCATTGATTTCCAGTCCTCGTTCTTTACTGCTTCTTCAACACCCCGCTCTTCCCCTTGGCCGACCTCTCCATCGCCTCGCCCGTCTCTGTCCACCTCCCCTCCGGCCCCCACAGCCGCAGGAAACGCAGGAGGCGATGGGCGACGGCGCATGGCACTCCCCCCAAAAGGCATTCTGAAAAAGCCCACCACCACCCCTGGGACTGGCTCTGGATGTGGATCTGGCACTGGCTCCCACGCTAGACCCTCCTTCCCCGGGATTCCCAATTAGCGGAAACAAGCAAGCTCGGCAACCCATTGCTGCTGCCTACTGCATAGGACCTCTTCACCCCCTTCATACCCCAAACTTACGCACGAAAAGACAAGGACCCATCCTCACAAAACCCAAATCAAGGAATCCAAGCTAACACATGAACCCCCAACCGCCAAACAGACTCTGCCCCCTTCTCAACGGCACCATGAAACCCGAAGACCGAGTCAGCGACTCCGCCTTTGCAATGGGCGCGCCTCCTGCTCTGTGAATGGAAACTATCGCTCACCCTGAAGTCCTATTTACCTTCGATCCATCCGCACCTCTTCTCACCAAATCGCATCCACCTCCGACTCCTCCCATATCTCTCACTTTTGCTCATATGATACCCCCAAATCTCCGACTTTTCTGCTCTCTTGTTCATCGCCACATTTTCCTCCTCCTACACCTTCATCGCAGATCGCAGTTGGCTGCGTATCAGTCTTTCGGGACAATCCGTCTGTATCTCCTACTTTCCGGTATTCCACCCTAACGTGTTTCCCATTCACACGGCCGCTCTAGAGCTATCGATTTTTCAAATCGCCAGGCGGCGCTTGGGGGACCAGAAGCATAAGCAATAAGCATTCTTGACTTTGTACCTCCCATGCTTCTGTTCGGCTTGAAAATGTAATTGGCGTTGCCTTGGCCCGGCACTGGAGTTTAGCAGCATTCAGAATGGTCCCTCAGCCATGATTATATCTGTTTGCCAATTGGCTTCTGATTATTATTCTTCTTTCCATTGCCAGTCGGGCAATGGCCATTGCAAAAATTGATTCCCAATGGTGTGAACATTCAATATTCCTTTCTCCTACACGTAGTCTGCATAGGTTCGAATGACCCTTGAAGCTAGTAGCTTGCTCTGATTTACCGAGTTACTTCTCTACTGTAGGCTATAACTCAGCCGTTCTCAAGTGCGAAGGTAATTGTTCGTTTCATCGTATCAATATCCAATAACGACTGACAGCCGGAACATGTACATATACCGGGTAAGGTATCTCGCTTCTTAAGAATGAGTGATGCCTACCACATAACAATGTCTGATGAAGAATACATCATGAGCCTTTCTTGTACATTCGTCGCGCTTGATTCCCGGGGTCCTTGAAATAAAGAGTGCCCAGCCAACGATGCTACGAGCCATATAATTCCGACAGTTGGCCTCGCCCCAGACGGTGACGACCCCGATCAGGAGTCAAGGCTACGGCCACGGACTTGGGACGTCGATAGGTGTAACCCAGGAATGCCCCTTTCTTGCGCATCTCAAGCACCGTTCTCCGCATTTGCCGGTCACGCAGGAGCTTGTCCCGCGGGCGTTTCCGCTCCTTTCTCTTGCGATCCTTGTGTGGAGAGACTTTACCTCCTGGGCCTGGGCCTGGACCTGGACCTGGTGCGGGATGTCGACTTGCATCCTGGGGCAGGTGAGCTTCGGCTTTAGCTGGCACCGGCTCATCGATCTCGCTATCGTCTTCGGGGTGGTCAGGATCTGACATAATGGAAATATCATCGTGGTCGCCCTCGTATCCTGCATCGTCAAAGTACCTGGTATCCTCCCACCCTTTCACTTTGGGGATAAATGGAGGAATAGTCTGATGAATCTCGTCCCACTTGATGTTGCGGAAGAAAGGATGAGTTTTGATATCTGCTGCGTCGTTTGGGAAGACGTAAAAGCCCTTGTAGTTTCGATTTCGGGGGTCCATGTTATAGAAGAAATGTCGGGATGGTAATCGGGAGCTCAAAGAGTCATTGATTTTGTACTTGCTTGACGACAGACGATGCTCCTTTTCTTGAAGTAGATAATTGATAAGATCGATTGCGTCGGGCGAAACCCTCTTGTCTGACGCTCTACTAGCAGGAAAACAGAGTGTCTCGTGGTGATGCTTTTGTCTTGATTAGCTTCATCGGAAGTTTCAGGTATCGTACAGGCACGTACATGGATCTTCATCTTGGTCTTCTGACGATCGTGCGAAGCAAAGGGCGTGAAGCCGTAGAGACACTGTCGCACTCGGGTTAGCCCTGTTCATACATCTCAATGATCATCGTACCTCGTATAGTATGATGCCAATACTCCACCAGTCGCATCGGCCGTCATATAGCTCACCCCGAACAACCTCTGGTGCCATGTATTGGTTGGTTCCAACGACGCTTGCGGCCAAACGCCGCTTCTGAGTGCGGTCACGCCATCCAAGCAGACCCATCGTGGGTGGTGTGCAGTCAGTTTCAGCTCCAGGACCGAATTCATGGAACGATGCCTTTGCCGGCTTGCGGGCTTCCTTTCTGTCCTGGGAGTCTCCAGCCACTTGAATTCCGAGTTTCCTGAGCAGGGAGTATCGCTGCTCATTGTAATATACTTGATCATGGGCCCAATGTCCGTCAAATGCTAGACCAAAGTCGGATATTTTCAAATGGCCGGACGCAGATATGAGGAAATTGTCGGGCTTGACATCGCGATGAATCCAACATAGCCGATGGGCTTCTTCGATGCACAGAATCATCTCTGCAACATACCAACGAGTGATTTCTTCGGGCAAGATACACTGGCGCATTAGCAAACCTAGGAAGTCACCACCGACCATGTAGTCCATGATAAGATACAAATGATCACGATCCTGGAAGCTCGCAATCAATGGCACGATCCAGCGGGATTTGGCCGATGCAACAAGAAAGTCTCGTTCGGCTCGGAGATGGCCTTCTTGACTGTTGCGTATCATTGCAGATTTCCGGATCACTTTCATCGCAAATACATCCTTTTTGACCCCTACCATCATCCTCCGACGTGTGCTGGTGGTCCCGTCTATGACAGAGATAGACCGGGTTTTGAGCTTTGCCAGCTCTCCTCTGCAGAACGAATGCTTCTCCCCATGTGCATTGCTACTATCACTTTCCGCTACTTTCTTCTCTCTGACCAGCCTCACAACTCCAAAACTTCCCCTTCCTAGAACTTTGATTGCTTCAAATCCAGCGAGAGATACCGTCTCGTCCTGCCGGCCACAATGAGAGTGACTTTTGAGAACACGGCATTGGCGCAGATACTGCCGTTCCTGGGTGATCCAGTTGTCCCAAATTCTCGCCCTTTCTTGGGGCGCCAAAGGAAGGCCATATATATACTGCTCAAGCTCATGCTGGCGCTGCGAGCGAAGATCCGTCCCACAAAACACTGAGTTGAAGTGTGTTTCAAAGAAGACCTTTGCATTGGCAGCGGCCTCCACTGTGATAATCGAGGGCGACCGACCGAGTGAGCCTTCGATCACTTGGGTATGTGTACCCTCGTCGCTGCCAGAAGGTGACGTTGCTTGTTTCGGCTGCTCGGTATCTAGAATGCCTTGCTTCGAGCCTCCTGATGGCTCTTCTGAGGTGGGAGGAGTCGTGGGAGGAGTTGTCTGGGGCGTGGAGCGCGTGCTAGTCGGGGACACACTGTCTTCCGGTGAGGTTTGGGGATCGGAGCTATCTTGAGCACTGTCGCCTTGCTTGTCCAATGCAGGGGCAAGTGGGGGCCCTGAGAACTGAGGAAGCCGAAAAGTAGGTCGCGAGCGAAAATGTGAGCGACGAATGACCGTAGGGTTTCCAAAAGTGGTCGATAGCTTGGTTGACACAATATGTGTGAGAGCCGCAGGTGTCGACTGACTTCGCTTCAGAACTTCGGATAATCGCTTGTGGCTTGGTCGTACGATGGGGAGAGGGGCTTTTAGGGGTGTTTCTGAGGGTCTGAGGGACTCCTCTGGGTGAGCGTGGACATTTTCGGTTGACTCTGGAATGTGATTGGAACTGGAATCAATGATGCCAGTCGGACTAGATCCTTCAGACGCATCCGGAGGCCCATCAAGGACAGCAACCCGACCGGATTGCTGTTTATTCTGCCCATTCTCGACAGGAGCAGGGAACGAGTGAAAGGTCTGTAATGGGACGCGGTCATCCTCGACTATTCGCAGGCCATCTGCGTCGTGGGCTGCCACTGCTTTCAGTACTATGGTCATGAATTAGCTTGGTGAATTAAGCTTCAATTTGAACGAGCTGCGACTTACCTTGAGCAGGGTTTCGGAGACCCAGGAGTGACAGTATTCTCGAGCTCCGTTGACGGATACGTTCTCGGATGCTGTCTTCGCTCTTAAGCTGGCTCGCGTGAGGATCTGAGCTTCGAGTACTTGACATCGATGTCTCGATGGTAGATCCTTCGCTACTCATGACATCGAGAGATGCTGGGATATCATCCGGGGTTTGCGAGCCCTCGTCCATCTTGAGTTGCTTGAAGGCGATTGGGCCGACTCGATATTGATACTATGAAGGGGCTAGAGTTCGTCATGCACCTACCCTTAGCTATAGACGTGTATGTGATGCTTGCGCTATTGTATGAAATGAAAGAGAGAAAGGCACCGTCATGTGCTTTGTTACTCTGTCGAGACATGAACGCCTCCGAGATGAATGCCTATGCAGTTGGAAAGAGAATAGAAGGGAGTTGCAAAGCTGATGCAGCGTGTGGATTGATGCAGTCCCGATTAGGCAACCCCAACGAGAGTCCACGGTACGTCTACTGAGGAAGGGGCGCTGTTTAGCCGAGTACTACCAGTAGGTATCTAAATGACTACGAGGAGAAAACAAGATGATGTATGATGATATGCAATCACTTTTGAGATTGTGAACACAGATATTCCGTTACTATCCTCCTCCCTGCCAAATGCAGCGGACGGCTGTGCAAAGAAACAAGTCGGATATCACAGAAATCAAATCATATATTCGAAAACCCCCAGAACACCGATTCTTTTGGGAAAGAAATTAAATCCAACAGACATGATAGCAATAGGAAGATTAAATGCAATAGGATGAGAGAGGGCGTTCCCGCAATCAAAGCGATGCCGGGTGCTAGGTCAACAAGCGGGAGGGCGGAAACAAACATCCCCAGGAAACTGCTTATTTGATCTCTATTTGATCTCAAGCAGCTTAACGTCGAAGATCAACTTCGAGTTGGCAGGGATGCCGGGAAGAGCACGCTTGCCGTAGGCAAGGTGAGCGGGGATGGTGATGCGGCGCTCACCACCGACGGCCATACCGGCGATACCGATGTCCCAGCCCTTGATGACCTCACCCTTGCCAAGCTTGAAGGTGAAAGGCTTGCCCTTCTTGTTGGCTGCAGTCACACATGTTAGTCGAGTCAGTGAGTGACGTGAGATATGATTTAGGACTTACCATCGAAGACCTTGCCATCCTCGAGCTTGCCGATGTAGCGCATAGCAACAGTGTTGCCGGCCTTGGCGGCAGCACCCTTGCCAAGCTTCTTGTCGTCGACCTTGACACCCTTGACCTCCTTGACACCCAGGGTGCCGGTGCTCTTCTCAGCGGGCTTCTCAGCGGGCTTCTGAGCAGAGGGAGTGGGGCCCTGCTCCAGGTTCTTGGCGAACTGAACCTTCTTGCCCTCCTTGGCATCCTTCTTCTCCTCGACGGAGGCAGCCTCGCCGTTGTTCTTCTTGAGCTTCTTCTGCTGCTTCTTGCTCAGAGCAGGCTCGCTGGCAGCAGGCTTGGCCTCCTCGGCGGCACGCTTGTTCTTGCCCTTGGTCTCGACCAGCTTGGGAGCCTCCTCCTCGCTCTCAACCTCGGTGATTCTAGGGTCCTCCAGCTCATCGAGGTCGTCGCTCTCGTCCTCCTCGCCCAACAGAGCCTCGAGGTCCAGCTCCTCCTCACCAGGAGGAAGGTCATAGTCGTCCTCATCGTAGTCATCCTCGTCGTCGGAACCACAGGGGCCGTGCTCATCAGCGGGAACAACGTAGTTACCGGTCAGGTAGATGGTGTGGGTACCGGTGACCTTGAAGAAAACACGCTCCTCCTCACCGACGGTGATGTCGAGAGGCTGCTGGCAGTTCTAAATTGGAAATAAGTCAACGAATTTCTGAATAGCATGATCAAAGATCTTGTTCTTACCTTCTCGGGGTCCAGGGTACAGAGGACCAGCTCATCCAACTCGAGACCCTCGTCAGACTCATCATCAGAGTCGTCATCGGTGGCGGGGGCCTTGCCCTTGACCAGCTTGGAGATAGCAGCCTTCAGATCGAACTCCTCATCCTCATCATCTTCCTCGGAGTCCTCGTCCATAGCATCCTCGAGCTCCTTGCGGGCAGCAGCAAGCTTGAGCTTGCGGGCCTTCTCCTTGTCGCTGGGGCCGCCGTTGACCTCCTCGTCATCCTCGGAATCTTCCTCGGAGTCGTCCTCGTAGTCCTCATCATCAGACTCGTCCTCGAGGTCCAAGCCGGGAGGAGGGCGAACGAGCTTCAAGGTGGCGCGGGGACGCTTGTTGGAGTCAAAGCCATCCTCGTACTCGGGGGCCTCATCGGGGTCGATGGCAGCCATGGTCACACGGAACTTCACATCGCATTAGTATTATTTGTTAAGCTTCAATGTCAATTGAACTCACCATGGCAGCGGCCTCAGGGACCACGGCGGGAATCAGAGCTCCGCCAGCGGGAACTCTGAGCGCATAGACGGCAACAGGCTGAACTCCGGACATTTTGAGATATGATTTGTGATATAAGGGTGTTATGTGATTTGGTAAAGAAGGACACGAACAGAGCCCGACGGAAAGAAAGAGAGAAAAGGCAGATAAAAAGATCGTCTACCAGAAAGCACGGAAGAACGAAAGAGACAGAAGGAGGAGGAAGAGTCGAGGAAGAGGAAAAGTTTTGACGCCGCCGCAGCACGCCCGGATTTGCTGTGGCTGCACCGAGACTGGCCTTCACCGCCTTTGAGCTTTTTTTTTTTTTTTTTTTTTCCTTCATTAAGAATTTCCCGGGCAACCAATCACCTCGGAAGACCCACTCCGTCACCGCCTTCGCTATCATTCGAGTCTCGAGTCTCTTATCAGATCACGTGCTGCCTCTTCTCCACAGTCCTTCGCTGCCTTGGCCGCTTCCAGACCCATTCATTCATTCGCTGCTATCGGGAACCACAGACACTCTCTCGCTGTCCTCGCCCGATCATGCTACTTCCCTTGGCCCACCATGGGCTCAGTGTTGGACCAGAATTCTAGTGCCGTGCGCAAGCGTATTCAGAATCGTACGTGGCTTTGATTCCCCCTCATACCGCTGCCAGGCACGTCCGCATCGCTAATCGCTTATCGCGTCGCTGTATAGATCAGTTCGAAGATGAGGGTGGCGAAGAATACGACGCCTCCACCTTTGGTGGCTTCAGCGATTATATGCGCAGGAAGAAACTCAAGCTGCAGAATCTGGACGCTGAGATACGCTCCTCTGCTTCTGAGAATCCCCCCATCTTTCGAGGCGTCGTGGCGCACGTGAATGGCTACACGCAGCCGTCTCTCCAGGACCTCCATAAATTGATTGTCAGCCATGGTGGTGGCTTTCTCCAGTACCTGAGCGGCAAGACGGATGCCACTCACATCATCGCCAGCTCACTGACCCCCAAGAAACGGGAGGAATTCCGAAGATATCGGATCGTGAAACCGGCATGGGTAGTGGAAAGTGTCCAGGCGGGTCGCTTGCTCCCCTGGGATCAGTTTCGCGTCGTTGACGAAGGACATGCACAGAAAGTCTTGAAGTTCGCCAATGGACGTATGCTGAGCCAAACCAACAGTCCACAGGCGGGCTATCGGGAGCAGAGCAGGAATAGCTGGTACGCTTCTCAACTTCAGGCAGCGGAGGCAACTAGTCCGGTGAGGTCTCCTTTGGGGCAGCCTGCGGGCTCAGCGCCGACAGAGACGCAACCGAACTTGGCTTCGCAGTCGGACTATGGCGAATTCCCTAGTTTCTCGATGGACGAGACGGGCAATCCTCTGTCTGTCTCGCAACAAACCAACGAACTATCTTCTCCCAGGGATCCTGAACCTGAAAAGGACGACCCAGGAAATGATATTATTTCTCCCCGCTCAAATATTTCGCAAAAAAGATCCCCATCAGCTCAACAAGCTACTCCCTCGAAATCAGGATTGACATCGGAAGAATACAATGCGCAACTCTTGACGGATCCCCGCATGCGCAACTCCAGTGTAGTCAATCCCGACTTCATCCAGCAATACTACAAAGAGTCACGTCTGCATCATCTCTCGACGTGGAAGGCAAATCTCAAAGCCCAACTTCAATCGGCAGCTACGGAGAAGTCGCAATCTCAGTCCAAGCGCGCGAAACCTGTTCCCGGCGCCAGACGATATATCATGCATGTGGATTTCGACTGCTTCTTTGCTGCTGTGTCAACATTGAAACACCCCCATCTGGAAGGAAAGCCGGTGGCGGTGGCACATGGCGCTGGGTCGGGCTCTGAGATCGCAAGCTGCAACTACGAGGCGCGTGCGCATGGGATTAAGAACGGAATATGGATGAAAGGCGCTTTGGAAGCGTGTCCTAGTCTACAGGTCGTTCCTTATGATTTTCCGGCATACGAAGAAGCGAGTCGAAAATTCTACCATGCCATCCTGGCTATAGACGGCATTGTGCAGAGTGTGAGCATTGATGAAGCGCTTGTGGACATCACAATGCAATGCTTGCATGCTGGAGGTTCGGATGGGAGAGGTGTTTCTGAAGGGTCTATCTACCGGGAACAAGCTAAAGCCGATGAGATTGCGCAAGCATTGCGCACAACTGTAAAGGAACAAACGGGCTGCGCAGTGTCCGTGGGCATTGGTGGCAATATTCTCCAGGCTAAAGTAGCCTTGCGCAAAGCGAAACCGGCGGGTCAATTTCAGCTGAAGCCTGACGGGGTACTTGATTTCATAGGGGGTCTGACGGTCCAAAGTCTTCCGGGCGTCGGTCATAGCATGGCTGCCAAGTTAGAGGAGCTGGGCGTGAAATTCGTGAAGGATGTTCGGGAGTTGACTCGCGAAAGACTCACATCCAGCTTAGGTCCCAAGACAGGCGTCAAGCTCTGGGAGTATGCGCGAGGTATCGATCGGACCGAGGTCGGCAACGAGACGATACGCAAATCTGTATCTGCTGAAGTTAACTGGGGGATCCGCTTCGTCAACCAGAATCAGGCCGAGGATTTCATCCGATCATTGTGTGACGAGTTGCACAAGCGACTAGTCGAGAACCTCGTTCAGGGCAAGCAGTTGACGCTCAAGGTGATGCGGAGAGCAGCCGACGCGCCGCTGGAAGCTGTGAAGCACCTGGGACACGGCAAATGCGACATTCTCAACCGGAGTGTCATGCTCGGCGTAGCCACCAATGCGACTGACGTTCTGGGCAAGGAGGCCGTGGCCATGCTTCGCAGCTTTGGCATCTCACCCGGTGATCTGAGAGGATTGGGGGTTCAAATGACCAAACTCGAGCCGCTCAAATCCGGGTCTCCTCGCAAGCCCGACGGCAGCCAGCAACAGCTGAACTTCAAGGCCTCGCCGATCCGCAAAAGCATCGAGCGACCGGAGGACCCGGACGACGTGGAGAGTCCTCGGCGGGGCGAGTCCGAGACCGTCCGGTCCGTCCCCTCGATGCACGAGAGCGGCCACAAACCGTTGAACATCTCAGGAACGCAATTCATCCTGCCCTCGCAGATCGACCCCCAGGTTGTCGCCGAACTCCCCAACGACATCCGCTCGAAGCTGGTAGCCCAGGGCCGGTCTCGCCGCGACACGCGGTCGACCTCGCCCTGTCCGCCCACTCGCACGCGCCGACCCATAGGCGGCGCAGAGCTGCCTCCGCCGTCCCAACTCGACCCAGAGACACTGATGGCGTTACCAGAAGACGTCCGAGCCGAAGTACTAGGCTACTATACCCGCGACTCCAGCGACCCGGACAACCAAACCCCAGAACCCTGGACATCAGCACCTCCCACCACCACCACCACCAACCCGCCGCGCCCAACATCCTCAAGCTCAAGCTCCCTCAAACTCCGCAAACCCACCACGCCCACCAAACGGCGTCGCGGCCGACCTCCCATCATCAAATCCAGTCTAGCCACGACCCTAACGCAAGCGAAATTCATCCGCCCCAACCCGCCACCACCACCACCAGCCTCAACCTCAGCATCAACCACCACAACCACCAGCACCACCGACCCAACAACAACAGAAGTCTCCGCCGACTTCCTAGCAGCCTTACCCGAAGACATCCGCCAAGAAATCCTCGAAGAACAGCGTCGAACCCGCCTCCTGCAACGCCCAGCCCTACACCCTTCTACCCATGCCCGACCACCATCCACCACCACAACAACAAGCAATGCACCTCCACAACCTCCCCGCGAGAAAACCATCTCCCTGCCCCCGCTCCTCGCACGCCCCACCTTCACCGCCAACCGCCTAACCTCCCTCCCGGACCTCCGCCACGCCCTGACAGCCTGGTACACCACATTCAACCGCGCCCCGGACGAGGCGGACGAAGCGGACGAAGCAGGCGCAGTCGACAGCAACGAAGAAGACGAACAGGGAGGAGAAGAAGAAGAAGAAGAAGATGAAGAAGAAGAAGAAGGCCCCTTCGACGAAGACATCCTCTCGCTAGCCCGGTACCTGAAACGGGTTGTCCTGGACGAGCGGGACCTCGAGAAAGCGGTCGCCGTCGTGCGGTGGTTGATCTGGTTGGTCGAGAATGATTACCCAGGGAGCACGGCCGATGGCGGCGGCACGGGTGCTGGCGATGCGGACGGCCCGGCAAGTTCGGCTCACAGTCGCGGGAGCGGGAGCGCCAGCGGTGCAGGGTCCGGGTCTGGGTTCGGGAGCTCGCAGGAGGAAGACGCGTTCAAGACGCCTAGTCCGAGCGGCAAGATCTCTAGGCTGGAAGGGTTGGATGGGTCTCAGCGGCGGAAGCAGCGGCGGAAGCAGCGGCGGAAGCAGCGGCGGAAGCAGCGGGTTGGGAGGAGGTGGGGGGTTGCGGTGAGGATGGTGAAGGAGAGTGTTGTGGAGGCTGTTGGGGAGAGGGGGTTGGGGGCTGTGGATTTTGATTGAGGGGGGTTTGGGACGGGGGATCGGTGGTTGGTGTTTTGTGTGTTGCGGATGAGATATGAAAAGTACCTAGTCAGGCGTTGTATGTACACTTTAATTGACTTGATGAGTGGTTGAGTAGAGGTTGAGGCTTGGTTAGGGTTACTGGAGGGGGGTTATTGCAGCCCTTCAACGAATCTTGACAAAGTGGTACATACCCTGCACAATCCATAAAACCAAGCACATACAGCAAAATTGGCACAATTCTCGAAGCAGACACCTATCTCCACAGCCCCTGAATATTCCCTCTCCACGATACCCAAGCATGCATTTCAAGGCCCCATAACACCATATACACACCCACCCTGCACAGCCCATGACATAGCAGCATAAAAACACCTCAATCACTCAAGTGCACACACCCCAGCCCCCCCCCCCCAATCTACCTACAGCAACAACAGCTACATCACGAAACCCACCCCTCCCTCAAAAACCACTCCACCATCCTCCGCACCAGCCCCGCATCCCGATCCACCACCGTCCCGACCCCCTCCAACGCGCGACTCCCGCCCCGCGCCCTCTCCGTCCGGAACTGCAGCCGTCTGCGCTCCGCCAACACCTCCTCGGGGAGCTCGTACTTTCCCGCAAAGAAATCCACCAACTTCACCGGCGGATTCGCGACGGGGTCCGGGTCTGCGCCGCGCAGACGCTGCACCCATTCCCGCGGGGGAAGTTCGACGAAGTCCAGCCCCGCGCGGCGGAGGGCAGGGAGGAGGTCCCGCGTCCAGTGGAAGGGGGTGGG